GTGATGCGGTAATGACGCCGGCGCGACGTGATGACGTCATTTTGACGCACGCATTGATGTTGGCGGAACCCGCGGGAGACCCGGTCTGAGCTGACAGGGAGATGCAATTACATTGGTGATGGCTAAGTAGATTGCTAATATGTATGTTGGTATATGTATGTTTTTACAGTGTATGTGTTAGTCCTGATGAAAGTCTGTGGTTAACAGACTGAAACGTCGATCTGTTTTTTGGATACTGATTAAAAGTTAAGTTTTATATTTTTTTGATTGAATAAGTCCTGGGAGTGCTATCTTGTTTTATTTTTCTGTGTTTTGCTGGACAAGCACCGGGCAAGTAGAGCTTTGAAAGTGGAGTGCAGGATTATTTTTCTTGTATATATATATATGTATGTATGTGTGTGTATGTATGTATGTATGTATATATATATATATATATACACACACACATACACCGGGCTCATCAGGGCTTAGCCACAAAATAATGAAGTGTACACTGGTTGCAGTGTTAGTCACTTAGATGCTAGTTGTCCATGTCATAACTGGGTAATATCCCAGAGCTGACCAAAGATATATGGGTCTTCATGTAAGTCTTGCTTATATTATGATTAAGCCAAATGTAGAGGCCAAAAGTATAAAGAGAAAATAATAGAGTGCCAAAAAGGAGGGGTAACTTATTTGTGAATGGAGTATAATTGTATTCTTCATTCCGACCAAAAGGTGTCAGTGTTTTAAACTTATAGATCCACCAAGACTCTTTTTGTAGAAGAAGTCTATTGAAGTTGTCTTTTCTTGGATTAGGAAGAAGCTTTTGAATTGCTTGAAATTTTAAATTCTCCACATGACCGTTGTGGAAATTCTGAACATGTCTAGCAACAGGAGTAGGTGTGATGGTGTTTTTGATGGAACCGATATGTTGTAAAATTTGACGCCTGAATTGTTGGAAGGTCTTGAATTTCCCATATAGGGAACTAGTAATGTGTGTAAAGGAATCTCCAAGGGAATAACCCTGAATTATTATGAAACAAAAAAGCTAGTATCCTCTAGGAGTGAAAACCAGGAGACAAAAAGGAGGTCCCTATAGTATCTGTATGGATTAAAAATATAACATGTATCTTATCACCTGTAGTTGTGACATCCAGTATGTAGGAAAAACTTATCAGCAATTTAAATGCAGAATTTTACAGCATATATGCTCAATTACAAATACCAAAATATCCACTCCTGTATCTAACCATGTTCGGAATTACCACGGAAGTGATCCCACACATTTAACGTTTCAGGCACTTGAAAAAT